TCCTCGGAAGGAAGATGGCAATCTACTTCCGTGGTGATACTGCCTCGGAAACCCAAGGAGGGGTCACTATGAGTTGGGGCCGACTTGACGGCACATAACAACAACGTCCAGTGACTTTGAGCCCCTTTCATGTGTCAGTTGGCATTTGTAATCTTATTTGGAGGAACGTCTTTTCTGATACTTTGTCTGTTTTTCATTTGCGTTATTTGCCTTAATGAATTGTAAGAGCTCTTTATATATTCTAGATACAAGTCTCATATCACAAGTACGTAATTTATCAATATTTTCTCCCATTCTGTGGGGTCGGTTCATATTCATGACAGTGTCCTTTGAAGCACATGTTTTTAATGTTGAAGAAGTACAGTTGTTTTTTATTTTCTTAATTTTGTTGCTTGTGCTTTTGTGTCATAGCTAAAAATTCATTGCTGTTTTACATATCTGTGGAATTACTTCTTTAAAAAAAGTTGGAAAACCCCAAAGGGATCTCAGAGTTGTTCAAATAGATTTCACCTTTGACAAGAATCTTCTGTAATAAAAGCACTTGACAACTTCAAAGCATTAGACCAGTGTTTATAATCTTCTTTTGAATGTGTGACGAGAACACAGCATCCCCTGCCTATGGGAGGCCCTCTCTGTTGGCCCCTGGTTGAGTCTCAGCGTCCTCTGTGCCTGCAGAGCAGGCTCCTGCCAGGACTCTCAGGGCTGCTCCTTCAGTGTGAACCGGGGATCCTGATGGTGAACCTGTGCAGGTGGAAGCCCTAGAAAGGCCAGTGTGCTCACCATTTGCTCAGCTGTACTCTGAACCACTATCCACATTGGGGAATGAATGTTCTGGTCAAACTTCCGATCCGTTAGCTTTCAGAGTGCCATTTGTTGGTGCGTTTGAGTATTTCCAGTTCTGGGAATTGAAATAATGAAGTTTCATTTCTTTAAAATGATGCATGATAGAAAATACCAGAAATATGCTTTCTAAAATGGATCAAGTACCGTCCTTAGAATACATAGTGCTAACTGCTCTATCCTGTCTCACTGCAGGTTTATTTGAGACGCAACAGTGTCCAAGAGGAAAACACTGCAACTTTCTTCATGTGTTCAGAAATCCTAACAATGAATTTTGGGAAGCTGACAGAGATATGTACCTGTCCCCAGATCGGACAAGCTCATCCTTTGGGAAGAACTCAGACAGGAGAGAGAGGATGGGCCACCATGACGACTACTATAGCAGGCTGAGGATTAGACGAAGCCTTAGTTCAGACCATTCCTACAAAAGAAACGGGGAGTCTAAGAGGAAAAGTAGTCACAGGGCGAAGAAATCTCACAAGCACGGGCTGAAAAGTCAGGAAAGGCACAACTCCTGGAGCCGCGGAAGAAACAGAGACCGCAGCCGCAGCCGGAGCCGGAGCCGCAGCCGCAGCCGCAGCCGGAGCCGCAGCCGGAGCCGCAGCCACAGCCGGAGCCGGAGCCGGCGAAGTGGCAGCCACAGCCTCAGGAGCCGGGGAAGTCGGACCCAGAGCCACAGGAGCCATGGTGGGCGGAGGTCGGGCAGCAGAGACAGAAATAACCACAGTCTCAAAGGCAAATAAAGCGGCTGTTTCTAAATGACTGTATCTCTATTTATTAATGGCTGCTAAATACATTGGCTAGAAGGGGATGAGCCCAGACGGGCCAGCAAGTGTGGCCAAGCCCTGTGTACACTGGAATCCTTCTAAAGAAGTTTTTTTTCTCTGGTAATCAAAAATTGTATGTTTAGAAACAAAATGTCAAAGTAGCAACATAAAAATTACTTGTAATCCTCACCTTTAGAGATAACCAGTTAAAACCAGTTAACCTGAGGGCATTGCTTTAGTCTCTACTTTTTTTTTTTTAATGGCCATGCCCATATTTTCTTTACACAAAGTTAATATATGGCTGCGATTGCATATGCAATTGCATAACCTTTTTTTCCCCCTGAAACATCCTTCTATTTCAAGCAGTTCCTATTCTTATGTTATTTCTACTATCTGTATCATTTTTTGGGGGAGGGGGGGGCTCTGGTGGCATAGTGCCTGAGGCATTTATTTGATTGCCACTCCTCGGAAGATCGGGCAATCTACTTCCATAGTAATAATACCACCTCAGAAACCCAAGGAGGGGTGTCTGTGAGTCAGATCCAACTCGATGGCAGTGAGTTTGGTTTTGGTTTGCATCATTTTTAAATTTTAAAAAAATAATAGTTTCTATTGTGATTTGGGTGAAAGTTTACAAATTCATTTT